GGCTTCAATTTGTTTGTCGTTTTTGGCTTTTAGCTCGTTGCGAGATTTTCATGAATTTTATGTAACGATTTGCCCCGCCAACACACCGCCCCCCAGCTCCAGGGGTGTTGCTGTGCTGTGTGTGTGTGTTTGTATCACACGTTGAAAAACTGCATCGAATTGCAAATTCAATAATACTGGTGCGCTTCGTACCCTCCTTACCCCTCTTGCCATCCCATTAGCTACCCCTGCCAGCATCTCGGCTGCTGCTGCACGTTATTCATATTTCTGTATTTGCCCGTTAGTTTTAAGTATGCCAAACGAATGAGAAGCCAACTCAAGCACCGATACCGATAGCTTTCCCCTTTTAGCAGCACCGGGATCACCAACGTCTCGAGTGCGCCACGAAGGCAGCCAGGGCGACAGGGGGCGTGGCTGCAGCTTGCTTTGGCATGCTGTGTAATTGGTTCGATAATAAATACAGCGATTGATTTTTTTTTTCCGTTTTTTTATTTCACGCCAAGCTCTCTCAGCATAGTTTCAGATTTAATTAAAGGCAAAGGTGTGTGACAAAAAGGTGTAGAGAGTGGTGGGCGGGCGGGGAGGGTGGATACGAGTTGCATAGAAAATCAGTCAGAAAAAGTGATAAGGGAAAGCCACGATTGCTCGTGCCAGTTTGAGCAACCCACAGGTCGTTGGCCCAGAGAAATTCTGGCTTAGATTGTTGACTGTAAGTGGAAGAGATTTTCACTTGATTTAAATTTCAGCAATAGGCTAAATATACTATTATTTTATTTATTTAAGAGAAATACAAAAAAAATTGGAAAAATAGTTTCGATTGACATTTTTATTTTGCTGTCAATTAACAGCTTTTTGTGTATATTTTCAGGGTTTGCTAATAAAAAGAGGTTATCTATTAAATCGCACATTTTCTAGCACACATTCTCAGTTTGTAGCAGTTTCTATGGCTCATCATTTCGCAATGCCTAAGCTGATCTCAAGTCTGCAGACATTTTAAAGTTTTACAAATGCGGAAAATAAAGCCATACTCAGGCCGCTTGTCACGGCCTAAAAAACATAGCAAAGAAATGCTTAACATAACACTATACAGAATAGGCAAAAAAAAAAAAAAAGAAACGTATTTTACAGCACTAAATAAATTCGAATGCGACGCTGCATAAAAAATGAAGTAAAAACAAATGCCAGGCACGTTGCTCACATTTATCAAGCGAGACACACATACAAGAGTCGTGTGTGCTAACAAGAACAACAACAGCTGGCACACCTTCACACACACACACACATACACAGGGGCTCAATGAGAGAGAGTGTGGGAGATGAGCCTGTCGCCTGTGTTGACAAAGAGTCGAAAATTTCAGTCACGCGAAAGGATTGAAAGTCATTTGATGTATTCACTGTCATTTAAGTTGGCGAACTGATAAAGTGACTGATAGATAGATATACACAGATGTACGTATATATGTATATATGTCGATTGATATTGAATTGAATCGATGGGGCTATGGCCCTGCCAATATAACTACACAAGCAAACGCTTTCAGTGCTGTGCATATGCTGGAGCCGTAGATAAACCCAAGTTAAATGCATTTAACTGACAAGGACGTTGGCACTAGGAGTCCTTATCCTTTTGCTTTTTTTGTGTGCGTGTGCCTTATTGACATGTGTCCTGGCTGCCAGACTTATCCGTTAGTTGTCGTAGCAAGTCAATTATATATACACGCACGCCCACACACATAAACTCACCTACATATACATATTTGTATGTATGTGTGCAGTTACACGTGAGATAAAATTTAAATCTGCGCCGTCTGCTCCAGGTGGAGAACTTGTGATTTATTGAATAAATCAGGGGGGCGTTCCACTTCACAAGCTCCTCAAATATTTATCAGTGCATCTGTGTGCGGGATACGCTGTCTGTTTGTGTGTGTGTGTGTGTGTGTATGTACGTGTGGTTTTTAAATTTATGTGCACTAGTAAATAGAATGGGCCTCCGCAGACCTGCTGAAAGCCGCAAGATGAGCCAATAAAATATATAAGATAACGCCGCGAAAAGTGTGTTAAACGTTAAAGATGAACATTTACATTCTTCCTCCTATTTCTTAACTTGCGCACACAAAATTTATTTGCACACATTTAAGAGCGCGTCTGAAAAAAAAGAAGAACAAGTAAGAAAGCTCTATTCGAGACTGCTCGACTACGAGATCCCCTGAACCCTTGGAGTAATAGCTATTTCAATAATTTTTCGCGTCTTTCAGCTTACACAAGAAACACGCACACACACACACACACACACACGCACGCATGCACACAGGCATACATACACACACATACATACATACACACACACACACACACACACACACACACACACACACACACACACTACACAAACAATTACATACATATACACACACAAGCATAAACACGCATGGGCTGCAGTGTGCGCTTACTATGAGAACTTAATTGTTTAATAACTTTTTTTATGGACGTACGATCTTCATGAAACTTTTAGATTATGATTATAACATGAATATGCATGTAATTGCCAAAGCACAAGTCTCTAGTATTTGAAATACGCTTTTTACAAAAGTGAGGGTGAGGGGGTGAATTTAGAGGTGGGGGGTAAATTTTAACAAAAACCGAAATTGTATAAATTGCATATAAGCATACATTAAAAATTTGGAGACTCTAGCAATAAAGGTGTAGAAGATATAATTTTATAACTGGGTTTCGATAAGGTTTTTTATCGATAAAAAAAGATCGAGATGAGTTATCGATTTTTAATGATAAACTTGATATGCGCGCTGTAATTACGGACATTTTAAAAAAAAATTGAAGTCTCTAGCTCTTATATCTTCTGAAATCGACGCGTTCATACATACGGACAGACGGACAGCCGGACAGACGGACCGACGGACAGACAGACGGACAGGGCCAAATCAACTCAGCTCGTCACCCTGATCAAGAATATATATACTTTGTGGGGTCTGCCACGCCTCCTTCTCCCTGTTACATACATTTCAACAAAACCATTATACCCTGATTTCCCATTGAAAATGGGTTCAGGGTATAAAAATCAAGTGCACTCACTTGAGACACCAGCTTGAGGCATGTCGATAGAAATTCAGTCATTTAGATGCGAATATTTCAGATTAGTTGCCTGGATTAAACGGAGTCCTAAGCGGGTTAGTTGGCAGATAGGAAGGTGATCTGCTTCAGCATGTCTACGACATGCATGAAGATATGCCACAGCAGGATTTAAATAGGTGCTTGAATTATGCTGATTTAATTTCATTTATTCATTTATAAATTTTTTTTAATAAAATGTATTAAATGAAATTAGGATTTTTTAAATTTTAATTTGTATTTATGTATTATATTTTAAATTAAATTAAAAGGTATTGAATTCTCTTATATTGTTATCATAACTTGTATTTTAATTAATTAGGATTTATTAATTTGAAGTCATTTTATAAATTTATAAATATACCATATGATTTTGTTAAATTATTACATATATTTTTAATAATATTTAAATGCATTATATTATAATTGTTTATATATTTATTATATTTTAAATTAAATTCAAATGTATTGTAATTATGTTAAATTGTTTTAGTTTATTTTATTCTCTTTTATGCTTTATAATTTAAATAATTTAATATATTTCATCATTTTTATTTATAATATTTTTAATAATTTAATATCTGTCTATAATTAAATTTGAGATACTTTATAATACTTTAACTTACTACTTGCTACTACTTTAATATTCTCAGAGCCTAGATAAACTATTTGTCAAGAGTATTGTCTATATATAGAAGCGCTACCACGCCTACTCCCGCCCATTACAGACATTTACATAAACCCTTCTCTTGCCACCAATTTTGCATGACTTCAGCTTATCTTAAGCCTAGTTTTAAGCTATTCAGAATATTACAATTATGTTTTAGTTTTATTTGTAATTAAACAACAAATCTGGCATCAACAAATTGCATAATTGATTTTAAGCAAAAACCTTAACTTGTTCCGGAGCTTAAAATATTTCGCGTTATTTTGATTGTTATGCTGCGCACACGCTTGACCTTTTATAGCCCTTAACTTTTAAGCTTTTGGCCTTTATAAAAAATTTTAATAATATATGTAATGCTTTTTTCATTGGCATTCCTATTTGTCAAATCGCATGAATGTTAATAAATGCCATAAAATTTAATTAACGCTAATTAGCAAAAAACAAAAGAGTTTAAAGTTGTTGTTGTTGTATGTTTTTAATAAAAATCGGTCAATATATGTGCATGCATAATGTTTTTATCTTTTGCGGTTAATCATTATTTTTGTAATTTTTTTAGTTATAATATTTATAGAGTGCATTTATTTTTCGACTCCGTGTTTGGCATAACATTTAATTAATTAATTTTGCATTTAACTCAAACTGATTTTTATTTATTTGTTGACTTAATCAGAGTTTAGCCTGCGGAGTCTTGCTCGCTATCAATTTATTTCGATTGATGTGTCACAGCTGTTGACCCCTTTTTTATTGCAAATGACTATTTGCACTGTCCATCAAATTTGTCAACACTCAAATAAGTGTTTGCTAATTGAAATTAATTGCAGAGAATTTATTTAAATAAGAGAATATAACATAGTTATATATTGTGTTTTGTTCACATATATATGTATGTTACAGATTTACGTGTTTCGTAACAAAATGTTTCCTTATTTGGGGATGTTTTAATGTCAGATTCCATCAACTGGAGCTGCTCCTCCCACATACATATATGTAGCTTGGCTTAGTTTTCATAATTTGTTTATTGAATACAAATTGCACATTTTTTTGTTTGTTTATTTGTTATAAATTAAATATAGAGATATATGTTTTTAGTTTTAATATTTATTGCTTTTTATATTTCTTTGAATTTTGTTCCTTGCTTTTAGTTTTTGAACATGCAATTCAATCTATACAATTTCCATGCTCTTAGTATCTAACAAATATAACTTACCAATTAATATTGCAAGCAGGAAAGCCAGTTGGTAAAAAACGTGTAGAAACCGCATGTTGATATTTTTTCGATTTTAAGTCTGTAAAAGAGCGAAGAGGAAGAAGCAAATAAATGTATGTTTCAATATTTTTTAACAGCAATTTTAATTGAATTGAATAAGACATGGCTCATCACATGGCTCATAATCAAAGCCATATTTGTTTTGGTTGTTGATTGGTATGGATACAGATTTCATTTAATAAACTCAAAATGACTATTTGAATATACAATACGAAAGTATGCATGAATTCAGAAATATTTCAGCTTTACACTCCAAATCTGGCCAAGTTTTTGCTCATCTACGCTTAAACTGTGGTTACCCCACATAATATGATAATTTATATTTCCGGCTATTGCAACAAGCAACTCTGATATGGCCAGGTAGTTGGAAATGCTTTTCGCCTAGACCTAACTGTTAAACTTTGCACAAAGAACAATAAAAGCACCAACAACAACAATAGCAAGAAATGAGTTGCTTAATGCGTTAAACTTTTGCTGCAACACGTAACTCAAGTTAGGCTGCAGTTGCTGCTGCCCAAATGGGACTATATATATAGACATATATATATAGATATGTGTATGTATATATGCACATATATATTTATATGTATATGGCCAGCTGAGCAAGAGCACCAGGACAGGTGCGCCAAAAGCGAGTTTGTTGTTCTTCCACAAAATATTGAAAGCAATTTTGTAATCAAAAACAGAAAAAATAAAAAGCGAACGAACCGGCAGAAGAAGAAAGCTTTATAAAGTAATAACTATAAAGAAAACTGCAGCGATTTAGCAAGCACCCAAAAATACACACACACATACATACGAAACTCTTGCTCACAAGCATACTCACACACACTTGAGTCAAAAAGTTTACCATTTTAGAGTGAAAACAGGGCTGAGGTTTTACTAAACGAACCACAAAATGGCTGGTTAAAAAACTTCCAAGTGGAAGGGTTTTGAGTTCGACTAAGTGACTAGTAGATACCTTTTAAATGGCAATGAGATGCATTATTACAGGATATACTCGAATCTTGTAGTCTACTTCCGATCTTCAAACCTTCCAAATCTCTCTTACACTTCCTCTTCCTCACTCTCCTTTCTCTCTCTCTCTTTCTTTCTCTCTCTCTCTCTCTCTCTCTCTCTCTCTCTCGTTATCGTTGTCTCTTGCACTTCTATCTGAGAGTTTCTCGTTCAGTGTTATTGCTTTTCCATCTGCTCTTTAAAATCTACTATTGATGGTCCCATATTTAAGGTCAAGTACAATATACCCCACGCCTAACACCTATATTTTTGTATGCAAAAAAAAAAAAAAGATTAAATAAAAGAAAATACTGCACTCAGTGCGTTCATATGGGAAATATTCCACATTTAAAGTTGAAAATCGGATTATAATAATCCCCTTAGCGAAGGCGCACTGAGGCAGCAGCGTCCTCACTATCTCTCTCTCTCTCACACACACACACACGTTTCACTCCTTCTCTCTCCTTTTCTTTTGCCTATCTGAACAACACGCCACACGACATGTAATCTTTTGTGGCAGCAAATTGTTTTAGCGCATGGCCCATATTAAAGAAGATTTCCAGTATTTTTTTGGCACATTAAGCTTGGCTGTAGACGCTTTTAATTGCTTGGGCTTCATTAACAGCGAAGGGCAGAAGAAGAAAGAACTTTTTAATTTATGCATTGACAAACTTTCGGCACCCAAACAAAAAAGCAAAAAGCCAAAAGCAAAAAAAAAAAGAAAAAAAAAAGGAAGCACATTCTAAGTGGTCAATGGGTTAAGACAAACAAAAACAACAACAACAACAACAGCAACAACCAGAATCGGGTCTGGGCTCTGGGCCCTGGGCAGTGCGAGATAAGCCGCAAAACTGCAATCCAGACACAAGAATTCCACGCCGGGCGTTAAGGGGGCTTAAGTGTGTTAAGAGGGTTAAGGGGGTTAAGTCCTGGTCGCAAAAGGCGAACCGAAATTGCATGCAAGGCAAAAGCGCAGCATCCTTTTAATTGGTTTTCGGTCAAACAGTGCAATGAAATAAGAAAGGGAAGAAGAAATGAAGAGAAAACAACTGCAGATTTTTCCTTAAAGCATTTGTTCCACTTGACTTTCGGGCAGCCACTTTACTCCCTTTAGTAACTAGCACTGAGTCCTGATCTCTTTAAGCTGTGCCAGTGTTGAGTAACACGGGTAGTGAAGACGTAGCATTTCAGTAAACATTTCTATACTCTATGTATCTATGTCTAGGTCTATGTCTATGTCTATGTCTATGTCTAGGTCTATGTCTATGTCTATGTCTATGTCTATGTCTATGTCTGTGTCTATGTCTATATGTCTATATGTCTATATGTCTATATATCTATATATCTATATATCTATGTATCTATGTATCTATGCATCTATGTATCTATGTATCTATGTATCTATGTATCTATGTATCTATGTATCTATGTATCTATGTATCTATGTATCTATGTATCTATGTATCTATGTATCTATGTATCTATGTATCTATGTATCTATTTATCTATTTATCTATCTATCTATCTATCTATCTATCTATGTATCTATTTATCTATGTATCTATGTATCTATGTATCTATGTATCTATGTATCTATGTATCTATGTATCTATGTATCTATGTATCTATGTATCTATGTATCTATGTATCTATGTATCTATGTATCTATGTATCTATGTATCTATGTATCTATGTATCTATCTTTCTATGTATCTATGTATCTATGTATCTATGTATCTATGTATCTATGTATCTATGTATCTATGTATCTATGTATCTATGTATCTATGTATCTATGTATCTATGTATCTATGTATCTATGTATCTATGTATCTATGTATCTATGTATCTATGTATCTATGTATCTATGTATCTATGTATCTATGTATCTATGTATCTATGTATCTATGTATCTATGTATCTATGTATCTATGTATCTATGTATCTATGTATCTATGTATCTATGTATCTATGTATCTATGTATCTATGTATCTATGTATCTATGTATCTATGTATCTATGTATCTATGTATCTATGTATCTATGTATCTATGTATCTATGTATCTATGTATCTATGTATCTATGTATCTATGTATCTATGTATCTATGTATCTATGTATTTATGTATCTATGTATCTATGTATCTATGTATCTATGCATCTATGTATCTATGTATCTATGTATCTATGTATCTATGTATCAATGTATCTATGTATCTATATATCTATGTATCTCTTTGTATCTATGTATCTCTATGTATCTATGTATCTATGTATCTATGTATCTATGTATCTATGTATCTATGTATCTATGTATCTATGTATCTATGTATCTATGTATCTATGTATCTATGTATCTATGTATCTATGTATCTATGTATCTAGGTATCTAGGTATCTAGGTATCTAGGTATCTAGGTATCTAGGTATCTAGGTATCTAGGTATCTATGTATCTATGTATCTATATCTATCTTTGTATCTAGTGTCTACTATCGACTATTTACTATTGAGTATTCAGCATATATATATACAGCATGAAACAGCGGCTTCAAATTCATAAGAAACAACGAAACTACTCAATTCATAGTAAATATTGAATTTGGCCAATCTGAGCAAAATTAAAAAGAAAACAAAATATAAATAAACAAATAACTGTATTTATGGCAGAACAAAATTTATTTATGCGTGTGTACAATGCATATAATAGGCTTACAAATGCTATTGGCAGCTCATAAAAATGGCATTTATTATATATAAACTACAAAGACTTGACTAAAGTTTCTCTCCATCTCACTCTTTCTAGTACTCTTTGGCTAACGCAATTGTTCCAATTAGAAAATATTTAGAGGCAAAAATGTGAAGAGTCGATACATTGGCAGCACTTGGGCGCTAAATCAAAAGGTTGCTCGAGTGCTATTAAACCGCTTTTAGCATTCAGAACAAACAAGGACTTACCCAATACACACACACACACAAGGACACATATAGATTTAGCAGACAAACTTGTGAAAATTGGTAAACAATTTATGTGGTCAAATAAAATTGCAGAGCAGCAACAAAAATTGCAAATAGCAAAAGTAGAAGAAGAAGAAGGCGAAAAGCAGCCGCAACAAAAGCAAATTTATTGCAGCTCCACAGAAGCAAAGGGCTACGATTGCAGCTAGCTGAAGGAGAGAGAGAGAGAGTGAGAGATTGTACGACACTGTTAGAGTGAGTGAGAGAGCGTGCGTCGTTCAAGGATATAAATTACATGCTTAGCTACTCGAGGTGCTGCTCATATGCAAAAAGTTGTTGCCCTCCTCATCCACCTCCTGCTCCTGCTTCTCTTCCGCCTCCTGCTCTTTCTTTTTTTTTACAGCGCTTCGACTGCAGTTGTTGCTGCGGTTCTTGTTGCTGCTGAGATTATGAAATAAATTTCCACATGCCACAAAATTTCGCAGGCGACGGCGCTCTGCCAACCGCAGCCGAAAAATTCAGCAATAACAACAAAAATAAAGGATCACAATTTCTAGGTAGAGTTTTGGCCCTTCAACAGTGCAAGGGATTGCTAGCCTAGTTGTTGTTGTTGTCATTGTTGCACTTGAGATGCAAGCAGGCAGTATATATATCGATATATATGCTGCTGTAAGAGCCGTAAGAGTGAGCTAATCGGCATGACTAGCAGATACTCTATATGATATTTTATAAGTAGGGGCTATTATTCATCATAATTTCAGGAATTTTGTATGAGATCTATTATAATTTTAATTGCATTCACTTTCAGCTATATTACAACTCATGCAACTCCATTTATTTTAATCAAATTCCCCTCTTTACTGGGTATCCTACAGCACAGCATAAGAGACGTAAAAGAAAACATATTATAAATTTACATATGAAAATATTTTTCAATCGCCCAAAGGTCTGCCTGTTGTTCTATTTGGCCAAAAGTACTTTTGATATGTGGATCCCATGGCTAAAGTTTTCACACAGAAAGTTCCACACTTGGTTTGACTATTTCGCTCTCTCTCTCTCTCTCTCTCTTTCTCTTTCTCTGTTTCTCTCTTTTCTCCATTTACGCTGAAAATTTGTAAACTTTTTCCCATTGCCATTTTCAATATATATATGTATATACAATATATGGCCAGCGAGATAAAAATAAGAGCAAAGTGCAACTAGCTAAGCCTCTCTTCGAAGTTCAATGAAGCGTGCGTGTGTGTGTGTGTGGGTGTGTGGGATTTTCATCTCTCTCTTGCTTTTTCAGCTTTCCATTTTTTCTCAGAGGCCATATGAGTATGGAAAATTTGTTTGCTGTTGATGTAAGGCGTTATTATGGGGAAAATTGAAAACGGAGTTGAATCAATTTCACATCGAATATTGCAAATTCACTAAACTGCACATTGCAAGGAAATAAAAATTAAATTATTATTGCTTAAATTCATATTAAATATAAAATATTTAAATACTAAATTTTTTTATTATCAATCTACAAAAATTTTATATTTTGGAAACAGTTTTCTTATATTTGGAAAAATTACAATCACAGATTTTTTAGACTATTGATAACCATTAATAATCCAAATTAACTAAATTCGGAAGAAGAAAAAAAAATGAAGATGTCAAAACTAAGATATTAGGGGAATGCTTCCGAAAAATTATCCAAAAAGAATCTTGAAAATTTCTGTTACCAACAAATTAGTGTAAAGCAAAAAAAAAAAAAAAAAAAAAAAAACATATGCCAGTTCTTCTTCTTCTTCATTTGCTTCTTCTTCTTCTGGCCGTGCACTTTCAGCTCCATCAGCAGTCTCAATAAAAAATGCAGCGCTCTGGCAGTTGTGCTTGAGCTCACATTCACTTTATCAGCATTAAATTTCATTTTAATTAAATGCAAATTAATTACGAAACTTTATCAGGGTAGGCAAAAAATATGAATTAAAAAACAAAAAAAAACAAAACTTAAGGCAATATTATTGCGCAAAAGGCTTGGCAATATTTCTGGAAAATATTCTCAGAAGGACGCACCTTAAGCTAATTAACGCAGCTGCCAGGTGAGCTGAGCGCGGTGCGTTGGAAAATTTTTGAAAAATCTTCGTGCATAAACCACAGCAGAGAGCAGAGCAGAGAACGCGGGGCAAAAAATAGCAGAGAAATGTCTGGAGTAGAAGAAGAATGCGTTGTCCTTGCAGGTGGCAGTAAAAAATTGTTGAAATTCCGGGCCGGACTGGACGCCGGGCGCCTGCTCGCAGCTCATTAAACGCTTGTCAACCCCATTTGGAGAAACCCCCAGCCGCTCTTGTTGTTGTTGCTGCAGTTGATGGAGTTTTTGGTGGGGTAGGCGTGGCACAGCTCGGGATAATCCTGGAACAACTTAATGCGCCCCTTGGCCGTGCTAAATAGCTTTCATTATTTACTTTATTTTTCGCATAAAGCGCAACGATAAACAACAACAACAACAACAAGAAAGACAGCGGCAACGTTAAGAAGAACTTTTGGCATTTTTACGGCCAAAAGCACAAAATGCAAGTAAGAAATAAAAAGAGACAGCAAACGACACAGAGATAGAGATAGAAGGACAGAAATAAAATGCGAGTGAGATATATAGAGAGTGCATATAAATGTTATTTCACAGCGTTTCGCCTGTTTAAACTCTAGTGTAAAATATTCTCAGTTATTATGCCCATATACCCAGTGAAGTGTAGAAAATCGGGTATGATTGAGGAAGTAGTAAAACTAAATATGAATTTACATATATTAAAATATCTTGCATTATAATGTTAGGTTTATACTCTGTAATATCTTTTCAAAATATGCGTAGCTTGCAAATCAAGCTAGCTTTTATACCTTGTACCAACATATTAATTATATTAAGTTTTTTTTTTTTTTTTCGGCAGAAACTGTTTTTTCCAAGAAAATGAATTCTAGTGTTTATAGGTTGGCCAACTTGAATAAAATTTATAATATTTTATTTCTTCCTCAAGGTACTAATAGATTGATATAATAGATAAGATAGCTCATAAATATATAAAATCCAACAGCATCTATCAGTCAGACATACCCAACCGAATCACCCTTATGGAAACTAGTTTAGGGGCGCTTTAAAGGTCCCTGGCCTTAGTCGAGCTATAATAAATCATGACGCATATCAATCAGTCAATCAAACATGCCCTAGAAAACTTGTCCACATATTGATTGTGCCCCCACCAAATCAACAACAACAACAACAACGGCAGCAGCAGGAACAGCAACAATATATGCCTGACTCGGCATTTTTTGGCAAAAGAGAAGAGAGAAAAACTATGCTATGCATTTGACATTCTTCGTCAATGATATAAGCAGAAAAAAGGGAAGAACTAAGGAGCACAGCAAGACATGCGGTAGGAAAAAAAAAATACATATATATAGCTATGAAACATTGTTGCATAGGCCAGAGAGTGCTCTGCCCCTGCCCACCATTTCTCAGTTGTCTACCAATTCTCAACTTTTGTGCAGCTGACAAGTTTTCCTTGGCGGACTTTTTCCTTGAAGCGTCGCCCACACACACACACTCTCACACACACCCACACAATAGGAAATTGGCCACGAAATTGCCTAAAGTGCTTGATTGAAATGTATTTAGTGATAAGCCAAAACTCAAATATAAGTAGATACTCGAGTAGAAGAATTTGATCCAAATCAATTAGCAATGAAATTAAAGAATTTAATAAATTATGAAATTAATATTAATGTAAAATTGAGCTATGTAAAATTTGCATTTATTAAAATTTTATATTTTTGTTTATATAAATCAAAACTAAATTAATTGCAGGTAGAATCAAAATAAAATTTTATACTTCTTTCTTAAATGTAATGAATTATTTATAACGAATATATGTATAATTATAAAAATTATATGATAATGGAAGGATGACAAAATAAGTTTAGGAGATTTTTAGTTTCATTAAAATATATATAATTAATAAAAAAAAAATAAAAAAAATGAAATTTTTTGAGGTATAAAATTATTTAAAAAATTGTTTTTAATTTTTAGAAAAATAAAATAAATAAATAAACAGTATTAACTCTATTTTGTAATGCAAATTTACATAAATAAATAATCAAAATTTAATACAAATTTTATTTCAAACAACATATTTTGCAATCATAAATTATTAAATTAAATAAAAATATGTATGCTGAAAATAAATTAAATTATATGCTCAAAACTGAGCAATAAGTTAAAGAATTTACGAAGAATTCACTCTGAAGAGTTCTGATTCTTATTTCCACTTTATATTCTGCAAGTTAAAGTTTACAAAAAAGTCAATAAGCCAATTTTGATATCTTGCTGGAAAAGTTTCTCCTTTCTACGGGCGAAACTCTGATAAGAAACCAAACTAAATATCTAATAAGATACGCCCACATTCTTATTAATTTTGTTATTTTGCAAGTTCTACTTGACCGATAGGAAAAAATAATTCTGTATGTGAATAATTTTATTTGTTTCACCTATTTATATTAAGGGTGATGAAAGTCTGATTAGAATCCAATAAAACTGTCAGTTGGTGCTTAGTTTCTTGTTACAAATCGAATCGGCAGTTAATACGAATGCTATACGTTATAAATTCCTATTCTTAAATCTACTCTATATTCAACATGGATTTAATTCCTATCCTTATAGTTCAGCAAGTTAAACCTAAACAAAATCTAATGAGAATTCGAAGCGTAATAAGTTCTAATGTTTATTTTATTGCATTTTTGCGCGCTCACCTTTACGATGTTCAAATAAATGCAATTAGCAATATGTTTTAGTTGCGTGTAAATAATATTTTTTCATTAGCTTTTGCTTCAATATATTTAACACACTATTTTTACACCATTTTCCGTGAATATTTGAAGTTTATTTTGTTTGGATATTTCGCTTTGCTCAGGTAAACAAATCTAGTGCAATTTGTTGCTGATTTGCATTCAACTGCGTTAGAACGAGACAGAGCATGTATGGGTGCGTGCGTCGCGGAGTGAGTAACTGTAGTTGTTGTTTTTTTGTTGTTTTACTTTTAACTTTTTCTCTTTATTATTTCGGTTTCTTCTTGAACTTTTTGTTTTTATTTATATATATCTTTTACGTCGTTTGTCGTTGCTAGTGACTTTTATTCGCTGTTGCTTATCTTATTTCGCGTATCACGGAACTCGTTAAAATCACCTTAGAACACGTGACTGCACGTCATGCACAAGTAAACACACGCAGACACACACGCAGTCACATGCACACACACACATGCAGACAGGGCTGTGAAGCAACAGCGTCGCACACATACACACGCTCAGCTAAGTGATGGCAGCAAAATGCAAAAAGGTGCCGTTAGGTCGATCGCCGGTTCGTTGTTTTTCCTAATTCAGCTGCTGTTGTTGCTGCTGCTGCTGCTGTTGTTGTTGCTGCTGCTCTGCCCGCTCAGGTGCAATGTCAAAAACAAAAATCTGCACACGACTCGCTGCGGGAAATTGCAAATATGTGCATACACTAATGCACACACACACAAGCACACAAAGAGAGTCACACACACACAAGACACCAACTAACTAACTCGCACACACACATTCATACACTGCAATACTGCGTAGCAACGTATGTTTCAATTCGCGTAATTGTTAGCTGCAGTTTGTTGCTTCGTTTTTTTGTTTTTGTTTTCGGGATTCGGGATTCGTTATTCGCTTTTCGCTTTTGGCTTTTTGCTGCTGTTCTCTAGCAAAAAATCTAACGGCTTCGGAGCGCTCGCACGCAAAACAATCCTCACGCAGAGGCAACGCAATGAAAACTGAGCCAAGAACTCGCGTTCTGTTTGCCGAGTCGCGTTCGCTTCGGGTCCTTTGCACTGATTTTGCACACAACGCCAACCGAGACACGAAGTGCCAATGCGAGCTTCGGCTAGCGGCACGAAGTCGTGCACGAAGCTGCATTCGGTTTGCTTCTTAGCAAAACGCATCCAACGAGAGCAACCAACTGGTGGGTGGATTGGCGTCAGACAGACAGAGAGAGGGGAAGAGAGAGCTAGTGTTGGCTTTGAATGGAGAACTTTGCCTTTTAACTGTGTCACGCGTGAGGGGACTGCTGATGTGTAAGTGGTGAATAAGCAATTCAACTGCTTGTGTTAACGTTCATAAACAATTCGAATTATTTAATTTGACATTTATAGCTAATAAGAAAATATTCTGATTAAAATTCAAGTTTGCTTAAAATGACAATTGTATGCTTATTATAAGATATATGGAAACATATTGCGTATATCGTATTAAGCTAGATTGTTTTAATAATAATAATACAATGTAGGCATTTCGGACATCAGATACTTTATTAATATTCAGACTCATCATTATTTATTAAACATGTGGATATGTGGATAAAATAAAACTATATTAAAATTTCTTTTATAAATAAGATGTTCAAATCAATATTATAACCTAAATAATAATTTTTAGCAATGTTAATAATACCAATTGATTTGCCGATTTAATAACTTATAGACTATTTTCAAACGATTTAATCATTAATTTTTATTTTATCATTTATATTTACTTTAGATTTTCTGGATTGTATTCCCTCTATTCTCTCTGAAGTTGACTTCAGCATAATTATAACTTATTCCAACTAGAATTTGCATAAACCAATTTTGTACTGCTTGCTATAAACAGGAGTAGGCTTCACTCCTGAGCTGCTTCGCAAACTCAACACATTTCCCCTCCAAACCAAACATTCTCACCACACTTCTCCTCATTACGTTTAGTTCGCCTGTGAAGTTGTTAAACTATAAACTGCTTGTACAACTACCGTAAACTGCTTGAAAGCAGTACCGATAATGGAACTGCTATAATAATTAATTATATATAAAAATTAAAAAAAAAAGTTTATTATTATATAAGCATATTTTTAAATGAATATAAATTAAAAAATTGATATATATATAAAAAAAAAATACGAAATTACTTACAAAAAAATTTAACGAAATTAAAAAATAATAACGTATAAATAAAAAATGAGAAATAAATAATAAGTAAACGAATCAAATATCAACGAATAATTAAATAAATTTGAAAATATTTCATGGGATTATAACAAAAAATAAAATAATTCTACATACATGTACATATATCCATCCATATATAAATTTGTGTATATTTATGTGCATTACATTAGTTCCCAATTTGCAGCCCATTTTCTTGGCTCATTCAGATAATCTCATAAATCGCATTTTGTGTGCCACATTTGGTCCCATCATTTTGCAGTGTTGTAAAGTTTCGCATTGAAGTCGCTGAACTCGAGTAGCTCAAGTTATTATCCTTGTTCCATATACATACCAATACACACACACACACATATGTATGTATGTATGTATATGTAGTTGGCCTATGACGTTGGCTAATGACTTTATCGTCTCCAGTTGTCTGCATAAATTGTATTATTTTTAGAGCACGACAAATCGCTTGCCAACTGCGTGCGTGCGGAGGCTGTGGACGGCTGTGCGGCTGTGGGCGTGGCAGGCTAATGAACTGGAAATGTGTTGTTCCAGTTGCTCCACTCACATCAGCATAATTGCAATTTTTATGATTATGACACTTTGCCTGGAGTCTCGACTGGAGTTCCTCTTGGCCAATGGCAATCAATTTCCGCGTCCTTTTCGTCCTTTGATTGTGATAAAGGCCCTGCAAATGCGGCGACTGCTTCTTCTACCTTCATTTGATTTACAATTATGCAGCAGAGTTTTAGTTTATATTTTTTCTCTTTTCTTATTTTTTTGGACAGCCAAAAAGTCGCCGGGTCAAAATATTTTGGCAATGAATCGAGTTGAGGCTGTTGAAATAGTTGCTTAAATGGAAAGATTCAGGCTTAGTGATTTATGGGATATACGTCTTGGCGATATATATACGTTTTTACGGTAGTATACGTATTCAGTTAATGGCTTTTTCATCTATGTAGTTTTACGAATCAACTTAAAGTAGATTTCTATAATTATATCGTTAAAATAAAGCAAATATAAATATTATAATAATCGAATAACTACTAAAAATAAAAAATAAAAACAACTAAAATAAAAATAAATATGTATATAAAAATGAGTTATTAACAAATGTATTCCATCCTTAAAAAATAAGTATGTGGAAAATTATTAATGTACAAACAATTATTTAGTGTACAATTATTTGTTGGCCTGAATGGAATGTGTTTTGTAATATATATTACTATATATATAAATATACTGCTGGCTAAGTTAGAGCAATATAAGTTATTCATATATACATATTATATTCGTATATTGATATATTTATATATGTACATGTAGTAAAAAGTATAAACAATATAAATTTGTATCCATATTATCATATTGCAAATGAGCAGCATAGGAAAATTATTGTTTTGTATAATTAAGAAAAAAAATTAAATAATACAATGATTTAAAAAAAAAAAAATAAAATAAAAATTTTTTAAATATTATTATTATTATTCCATAAAATACTCCTAGCTCTATGTTCACTTACGTTTACCTTCCGTGTTAAAATACAAATTTTAGCATATGTTAATTACAATCTCGAAATAATGGAAAGTCGCGAACATATGTCTTTCGGCCATCCATAGTTAGGTAGATCAAGAAATGACTACCTGAATTGCTCAACTTTGCATGCTAATCCCATTTGCTGAGGTCAGCTCTACGCGAAGGTCAAACTTTAAGACAGGCAGCTGCACGACGAATTCCTTGGAATTCCAAGGATTCAGGTAGGATTAAAGGATAATTTTTGAGTATGTTTGCCCTATAAATAGACTGCCGCAACTAGGATCGCCAGTTCAGTTCAGTGCAAACCTTTGTTCCGTGGTGAAGTGTCGACTCAGTTTCAATAATTTGTTAAAAAAAAGTTGTCCATTTATATCAAGTGCAGTGGGCTTAGATTTGGATCTCTATTCAAGTTGAATTTGTGATAAAATCAAACTCCCAAATATTTCATACACTGAGTCGACATGGGTCCGTCCGTCCGTATACAAATTCGAACTAAACTTTCTCTATTTCTCGAATATACTTAGATATTTTAAGATTTTCTGTATATACACATATCTTGACTTGACTTTACAATTCGATAAATCTACTTTCTGTTTTTCAATTCAATAATATTACTAGTGAGCATATATTTTCAACTTCGTAAAACATTTTACTTGTTTCTTTTTTTCTTAATAATATCTATTTTCTATTTTTCCCTAAGAAAATTATTGTATTACTGATGTCAATATATTTTTGACTTACTAAAACTCTTCCCATGCATGCCTCTAGAAAATTCTAGTTTTTCCATTATCAAATCTTTATTTTCATACTTGAATATTTTTCCTTTATATATTTTCGACTTTCTTTCTTTTTATGCTCGCTTTTACTACTATGTTAAAAATTTTCCTTTTTGTTCCTTAAGTTGGTTTTATTCCTTTTTATGTCAATTCTTTCTCTATCCATAATCTAAAATATAGAAAATTAACAAGTTCTATGTGAGATACAAATAAAACAGTAGCAGCTCCGGCTAACTGAAAACAAAAACAGCAAAGGCATAAAACATAATTTAAAATGTACTTAATTAAAAACATGTAGATTCAAATTCAATATCGAATAGATAAAAACAATAACAATTTGACCAGATTTTCTTTGCTTTGCTTTTCTTTTTTAAATTCAGATTAAATTGTGTTTTTATTATATTTTTTGTTATTTTCTATTTTTTGCATTGTAACATGTGAGTTCTGCGCGACTTCTTAACTTTTTTATTTTATTTTTTTCCATCGGTTAAATTCATTTCTTTACAATATACATTATAAATACGTTTGATTATCTTCATAAATAGTTCATATAATAAATTTCGTTTGGGTACAACATATGCGAGTATTGAGAGTCAAGCCAAACAGGAAATCAAAAATTTTGCTGTGTACAAACTACTGAAAATATTACGCATTGTTTTTATTTTGTTTTGTGTACTTTTTAGACTGTGTTTCTTCTTCTGTTTTGTTTGTGTGAGTTTTGATCATATTTTTCGTGTAAATGTTCTGGTCTCGCATCTGTTAAATACTTCAATGCCTTTGGCGACCTTAATAATTACGTTGAATAAATAAATGAGTTTGAGAGTGTGTATATATATATATAGGAGAACGTTATTTTCTAAATGTTATGTAACTTCTATCGTATTTTTCTTTTTTTGCTTTTTGCTTTTTTGTTTGTTTTTTGTTTTTCTCTGTAGTACTTTTGATTTTTTTTTATAGATTGTTTTGTTTTTGTTTTTTTTTTTTTTTTTTTTGGGTTTTGTTGTTAGTTTTCTGCAGTTTCTCAGCAGCATGAATAATAACAGCACCATTCCCCAGCATTCTCCATTTACCACTGATTCGAGGGGCGACGCTCAGCTCCGGGCGCAGCGCTGCCGGAGAATCGCGGCGAGGAGCTCTGCGAGGAGCTGCTGCTGGGCAAACTACTACAGGCGGCTTCGGTAGCCAGAAGCGTATGAATGGCCGCCAGCAGCTTCTTGCGAGCTCCGAACGCCGTTATGCCCAGCTCCATGAGATTCTCCTCTGTCAGTGTTGGAAACATTTCCAAATCGATTTCGTTCAAAACGAAAATTTCTACAAAGAGAAAGAAAACAAAAGCAAAAAGTAAATAAAAATATGGCAAAATATGGCAAATATAAAAAAGAAAGAATATTTATGAACAAAATATATATACATATACATATAAAAAAAAAGTATATATATATAAAATAGCAATTAAAAAGCTTAGCAAAAAAAAAAATAAAACTCAAAAAAGGAAAAATTACAAACAAGAAAAAATTTGTAGTAAAAATATTTCCACTATATAATAAAAATACTATAAATACAAAAGAAAAAAACCTAGATAATTAAATGAACTAGCAAATATAATTTGCAACTAGCAAATATCTTCAATATGTCACTGCCATAAAAGTACAAATCATAACAAGAAACAAAAACTGACTTTAGCTTCTGGCTATAACAAAAAAAAAAATAAATAAAAAAAATTATTTACATGTAAAATTAAAAAAAAAAAACCATCTTCTTCCATTCCCTAACCTACCTCCCCCAACTACATGCACTACTCTTCGCAAACTATGGCATTGGAACCAATTGATACAAATACAACAAATGATAACAAAAGACTGAATGGATTAACGCCTAGAAATCTCCTAATTCGAATTTCGTGGGAAATTATAAGAAAGAAATCTCATCAAAAGCTGACTAAGAGTCGTACTGCAAACGTCTTCAAGGAAGGAATATAATAAACTCTATCGTCAAACATTCTCTTCTAACTCTTCTGGATTCGTCTATTCAATTCATCACTCTACAGACCTCACTGCAATAAAAATCCATAAAATAGGCAATCAAGCTAAATATTAAAAATATAGCAAATCAAATGGACCATCGTACACATATCACATCCATTTAAAATCCCAATCCTTTGATCCTTATCCGAAACCCTATTTCTATAACAAATTATTTTCCTACAAATATTGACAAAGAAAAAATGAAAAAATAAAAATGTAAAATATATATAAAAAAAAAAAAAATTTCAAACAAAAAGTATAAAAAAAAAAAAAAAAAACAATAAAAAAACAAACAAACAAATAAATTAAAATAAATAAATATAAATAAAAACTAAACAATAAAGAAATAATAATAAAAATAAAATAAAAAGAATAATTTCCAGTTTATAATACAATACAGTGACTTTTACAAAAAAAAAAAAAAAAAAAAAAAAGTAAAGAAAAAAAAAAAAAAAATTGGTATTTTTAGCAATTAGAAATATTCTATAAATAATCAATTTCAATAAATACTTCAATAAATAATCTGTAAATCCTAAGACGAATTGATAGTAAATTATTAAGAAACAAACAAACAAACAAAAAAAAAGAAAAAAAAAAAAGAATACTAAATATGGAACATTAAATACGGAAAAATGTAGATATTAATATATAAGGAATTTAAGAGTAAAATAATTGTAAAAATAGTTTTTTTTTAGTTATTTAAGAGCTTGATTGAATGTTAGCATAAACTATGTAAAAAACAACTGTAGATACATTAAACTAGAATAAAAGCTTAATGATAATAAAAATACAAAAGAAACAGAAAATTTGCCTTTTTATAACTAATAATAATTATCTTTATATTTTAATACCAAACCCAACAAGACAAACTATTAAGAAAATTTCCTATGGTCTGCTTGGATTTAAAAAAGTAAATGAAAAAAGCAGATTCAAAGTTCAGAAAAATGTTGCAATAGATATAACAAATAATATAAAATAATAATACAAAAAATAATAATAAACAACAAAAGTCCAACGAATTTCCTAATGATGAAATAAATATATATGCGCAACATTTGAGAAGTTTTCGAGATAGAAATGATGATAGAAGTATTGCAAGTAAGGAAGATAGAAGGAATGTGAATGATTGACTCACTTATGTAATGCTCCAGACCGAGGCTTGTCAATAAGGTGTGTATATCCTTGTGCTGCGAGAGTTGCACTCGACGACTGACGGGCGTTGCGTCCAGCAGGCCCGTGGTGGCGCTCAGTCCGTAGGGTGAGCCCAGACCGGGTGGGGGAAGAGGCATTCGCCAGCCATTCACACCACCGATCCCGTCATCGACCGTTTCGAGAGGGGCCGGTGAGGTGCGGCTTAGACCCATGCCCAGCCAGGCGGGGGTTGGGGTGCGCAGCTCACCTGCCACCGGAGTTCGTTCCATGGCTTTAAATCCAAGTGCGCGTTTCATATCAAAATCAAATGCGCGCTGTTGTTGCTGCTGCTGTTGTTGTTGTTGTTGTTGATGTTGCTGCTGTTGCTGCTGATGTTGTTGCTGTTTGCCAGCAACCGCTGCTAAATCGTAGTGCAAATTACGATAGCTCTCGGCGCTGCCAGGCAACAGATGTGCTCCGCCGCTGTTGATGCCGTTATTCGCATTGCTCAGTCCAAGCAAGACGCCATCGCTGAGACGGCGGCCGAGTCGAGCGGCGCCCACAATGCTGCCTCCCACCTCGCTGTTGTAGGTGGAGTCCGGCGAGTAGTGCGCCCGATTGGCGCCCGACGACGATGATGTTGAGGAGACGGTCGTCTGTACTTGGCCATACGGCGGATACGATTGCTCCAATGATGTGGTGCTGCTGCTGAAGCTCTGATAGCCGCTTGTGTTTTGGCTGCAGCTATTGCGAGGCGATAGATTGATGGATCCCGTTACGCTGATGGTGGGCGGCAAATTTGCGGGGGGCTTCAGTAAGCCAGCTCCGGGCACTTGCAAATAGTTGTTATTATTATTATTGATGTTGTTGTTGTTATTATTATTGTTGTTGCTAATGTTATTACTCGTAGTAGTTGTATTATTATTGTTGTTGCTACTGCTGTTGTTGTTGTTGTTGTTGATGGCTGACAGCGGACGAGGCTGATAATTGTTGTTATGCAACTGCATATACTTCTGTGTGGGCGCACATATGCCGGTGGGCGTGGCCAGGCCAGCTGCACCGAGCAGCATGTGACCCTTGCCATTGTTGTCATACGGCGTCAACTGTCCGCCCATTGTGGGCGGCAACAGCGATGGCGTCTTGGGACTATCCGGATAACCGGCCAATAGCGCAGTCAATTGGGATCGATACGCCAGATTAACATCACTATCCTTTGGCATGAAATAATAATCGGGTATATCTGGCTTGATGGCGGGCGTAGTCAGGTGGAGAATCTCCTGGCGCGCCTCATAGATTTTATCTGCAAAAATGGAACACTTTGTTAATTAATTTGTATATGCATATAGATATTAGATAATCATATAAATACATATTAAAATATATATTTTCTCTTGTTCACTGTCTCCCGTGCCTTTTCAGATGAGCAAATTGTTCCATTTTGATTATTATAATAGATTAATACAAATTACTATTTTAATAGATAACATACGATTTATTCACTTTAATTGTAGCTGTTAAATGCTAAGGAATACAACAAGAAACGAACCCATCCACCCAAATTCAGACACAACCTAAAACGCTGTCTACGCCATGCAACAAGTCGCACTAATACTATAATAGCTTACGAGGCCACCGGCTATACACACCCAAACATATGTAAATATAACACTCACATTCACACTATCTACTGTAAGCCGGCGGCTGACGCTCACAACATGCCTTTTGTTGTTTTTGCTAGTCTAAGTTAAGCTAGCTACACTAATACTAAAACAATAACGAGTAATAGCTCTAACACTCGCACTGTCTAATTAGAGCGCACGTACTTCCTCTAAGTTTTCTTCCAAGTCTTTCTTCTCAGTATTTTTTCTCATTATATCTTTTCAGTATTTCCCAAAAGTATTTCCTCAACCACCAAGTATTTTCTCGAAGTATTCTTATAAGTATTTGTTCTCCTTACTTGTTTTCAGCATTATTTCGAAGTATTACCTCTAAGTATTACCTCTCTAACAATTGGTACTAATTATTTTCTCTAAGTATTTCTTCTCAGTATTTCTTCTAAGATTTCTCATCTAAGTCTACTAAATATTGCTTCTCAGTATTTTCTCCAACTCAAAGTATTCTTTTAAGAATTTCCTCTAAGTATTACCTTCAAGTCTTTAATGCAAAGCTGAACGATCATACACTTCCCTTCACTTTACTGCACTGCACTACTGCACTACTGACCTCCACCAGGTCTGGGCGACTGAAGAAATGTTTCAGCTGCCGCGCTTTATATAGGGCGACTCTCACTTAAATACGAAGTCGCTCTCAATTCCTCTATTTCCTCTTAATATTTCTTCTAAATCATTCCTCTATTTCCTCAAAGTAAGAAGTCGGCATTTCCTCTAAGTATTTCCTCTAAGTGCTTCCTCTCAGTGTTTCCTCTAAGTATTTCTTCAAAGTGTTCCTCTTTCCTTTTTAATGCTTAGCTGACCGATCATTACATATACACACACTCTTCCTTTCACTTTACTGAACTGCACTACTGACCTCCAAGAGGAACACTGAAGAAATGCGGTAGCTGCCGCGCTTTATATAGGGTGACTCTCACTCAAACACGAAGTCGCTCTCAAATGTTGCGCCCGACGTCAGATCGTCAGGGGATCGTTGCAGTCGAGCTGAAGTGACCAATGGGAACACTCTCTGCTGCTTCAGGCATTCTAGCTTCGTTTTACTCAAATATAAATACCAAATGAATACTAGTGGATACGTAGGATAACTCAGACGATCTTCTGTAGTTCTCCTTCATTAGGCAGACGGACGGAGAGATGGACTGGACAGGGAGACAGAGAGACAGCTATACAGACAAACAGACGTGCTTAAATAATTATACCCTATATTACTCAATGTAGAGTATTATAGTTTACTCACTAAGAGTGAATATAAATAAATATTAATTAGATAACAAATTTATGAATACCTTGTTTAAGGGGCATACAAAATACAAATAATTTATACACATACTATATTATGTGTATAAATTCGTATTTTTATGCGCATTAAAAACACACAACAATATAAAAAACCCCGATATACATATAAATTCACTTACCGATAAATTTCTCAATGCCCTTGATTACAATGGCTAATGTGCTTTGTCGTTGCTTTTGACGTAAAGTTATATAGACGCCGTGCTTGATATTCAGGCCCATTATTTCGGAGGCATCAGTCTGATTGTCCGGAAAATCAAATATCAATGCTACGGGCATATTGCCGAGCAATTGCTGTCGGGCCCTATAAACATCATCGATGCGTCCACTGATAGTCACCTGCGATTTTTTCAACGGCTTCACATTCATATCAGACAGATCAGGAAATATGATTTTGGTCTGGGTGCGTTCCATAATGCTCAATAGATTCACATTATTCTTGCCCTTAACAATCTCATGATGTTGTGGCGAGATCTCCATTTGAACATTCACAAGGATTTGACTCTGAATTGATGAGAGCATAGGATAAGAGATACAGAGAATCAGGAATTGGTGTAAGATGTATTTTCAATTATTCTCTTGAGTACTTACCGCAATGCTCTCGAAAGCAAAGTTGATCAGCAATTGGGTGGCATCGCGCACCTGAGCTGATTCCTTTTCAGAGCCTTTGACCAGTACCAGAGACGTATGTAGCTTAGGACGGGATGAAAATATGACCTGAAATTGATTTGAATACAGTTATTACAAGTTGAAAAAAAAAGGAGAAGCTATGGCCAGAAAAGAAATAAGTTAGAACTACCCACAAAATTTAGATTTAGTTAATTTATTTGGAGCATAGATATCGAATCTTAAATAGTTTGATTAAAAGTTCTAGAGAAGAGAATATAATCACGTGTGATTATATTCCAACTTAATGAAGCCTTATGCTTCATGGCTTTAACTAAAAATTCGATTTCTTTTTCTTTTTAGATTCCTAAATACTTTCCTACCATCAATTTACCTGCACATTGAATTTGCTCTCAATCATTTTGATGTATGGCGTCTCGTGGTCCGGCTGTGTTTTGCCCGGTCCCATGACGGGCATCTCGAACGAGATGAGCAATGGGGTGGATAGACGGACCAAAGCTCTGGCACGCTCCACACCCTCGAGGCTGCCGCACAGCGACACCTGATTCGATTTCTCTGTCGGATTCGAACGGTTCGAGTCCGGGAAATGTATGTGCGTGTGTGTGTCGTCCATGATGCGTTTTATATTGTTGCCGCCACGTCCAATGATATATGAATGATCCGTATAGCTAACATCCATTTTCATAATAACACGAGTGCCCTAGCAACCCAAATATAGAGATAAGTCAAGTTCCATCTGTAGAGGATTTTTTCGGATGTTGTTTGGACTTACCCTGGAGTCAAGACTGCCTAGAATATGATCTTTGGCGCGTTGCACCTGATCCACCTTACCCACAATACGTACATGGGGATCTATAGCATAAAGATATATTTGTATAGAGTGCTATTTAGGGAGCTCATATTTCAGAGATCGGAACTCACCCTTCTTGCTCTTGGCGCCAATCTTCAGTCTGCAAGGCCAGCTTACATATGTATCAGTGGTGCTCATGATCTGAAAGACAATAAGTATATATGCATATATAGTGGGTGTATATATGCGTCTTTGTATAATACACTTGAATTTTGTATTAGTAATTGGATTTAGCTAAACATTTATGGTTTCTTCACTAAAATTTGTAATTTGTCGGCTAAATGATTAAACGTAAATTTTGCAGTAACGTTTAAACAGTTTTTATTTTAGTGATATGCGTCTGTAATGTACAAAAATTCCAATACCTACTGAGATAATGAACAGTTCACACTTCTCAAATGCAAAACAACAAATGAATGAAAACTCAAAACAAATGATGTCGATACGCTAAAATATGAGCTTATATCAATTACCGAAATATAATCAAAAGCTTTCGATATTAAATAACGAATTATAAAATAATATATAGAAAAGAATAATAGAAAGCCAGGTCTCTCTGAATCAAGTAAGTATAAGAAATCTTATGACCATCAAGTAGAATATAAGAATATTGTATATTAAGATTTGCATTTTATTATTTAATTGATTAATAATTAATAGTATATATATATATGTTTCTTATAAATATATTTTAGTTCCCAACTTACATTATCAAAGAAATATTCTGCACCATTCATGCCTTCAATGGCGCTGTCCGCTGTGAAATGAAATTATTATTATTATTAATATTTATGAATAGCAAGAAATATATTTTAAAATTTAAAGATATATAAAAATATATATATTATTTTTATATACTAATATATATTTTATATGCAACATAACAATAACAAACAATAATAGCATGAAAATTCACTTTTCTGTTATACAATAAAAAAGAAAACTAAAGCTGTGCTATTTTTGTTTTCATTAATGTTTAGATTTTTTTTTTTTTTTTTTTTTTTTTTTTTTTTAGGTAGATTTATATTTAGATAAACGCATATCTATGTCCATTTGTATAAATATAAGATTTAATTAGCCAGCTCACCCTTTAGCAACTGCTCTAGCTTCTGTCGATCAACCTTGAAGCGCTCCGTATGCAGATCGTCCACATTCTGTACGCCCAACTTGAGTGCAATCGCGCGAATGTCACTCCAATCGCTGTCCACCGACGAGATCTCGCTTTGGGTCTCACTCGGTGCGCGGGGCAGTGGCAAGGAGTTGAGATTGGCCCCAACTGGAGTTGTCTTGCCACTGGCCATGGCGGTGACCTCGGCGGCCGTTGGGTAAATCAATTTATTGAATGACGCACAGGAGAGCATCTTGTTGATTATCGGCTATCGGTTGTCGGTTATCAGTTATCGCTTATCGCTTAACGACTGCTGTTCTTGTTGTTCGGTTATCAACTTGTTCAATTTGTTTATCGAATGGTCGTTTAGTTTTTAAAACCAAGCAAAAAGGTCTTTTAGTGGCTGTCCGTCGGGAGGTTGTGCAGGAATTTGTCTTCCTGTGTGTATGTGAGTGCTTGAGTTTTAGTGGGTGAGTGTGTGTTCGTGTGTATGTGTTTGGGTGTTCGTGTGTGCGTATGTGTGTGTGTGGGGGTGTGTTGCTCCTGAGCAACACTGCGATTGATGAGATGAGCTGTGGACAGAAGATGAAAGCCAAATATGAGCATGAAACGAATGAGATTAAATTAGCATAAGTGGATAACTGAAACTGAAAGAAATTCTACATATAATTCAAGCATGATGGTTTATTGACAAATATAAGCAATTAAATTTTTTTTATTTTTTTATTTTTATTCTCTAAAAACACTTATAATATTTCAATTTATTAATAATTTCTAATTTATTTCTAGTCCCTCATTAAATGAGAGGAAAAATATTCATAGATATGCTATCAGTGTTTCTAGTATTATTTATTAGTAAACAGAAAGAAAATATAGTTAAATCGAATTGACAACATATATTATTAGGGACAATATTAATCCTATTAATATTAGGTGAAGGTATTCAAATTTTGTTTTATACGCAAGAATATATTTATGATACTTAAAGTTAAATTTTACTTATTATTTAAATTTGAATTTTAATATTAACAGTTTTAAAAATTGTATGAACATTTACCATCCCATATTTTAATTTATTTATTATTCTCATGTATTAATTGGCTATAGGATTTAAGAACTTTTTGCTTTCTAATGCATTTATGCCTAAAGAATTTAATTTGTTTTCTAATTAAGTTTATATATGAAAATGACATAAAATGTCATTTAATTGTTTTGATCCTCCAATAATTTTAGAATATTTAAAATAAAAAAGCTCTAATAAACGCAATAATTAAACAAAAATTTCTAATTTTATAAAAAAGAATCTCCACCTTTGGCCTGCATTTATTTTCATTATATTCAAATATAATTATTTGATATATGAATTATTTGGTACATATCTTCAGGTATTTGATTTATTTTATTGTTAAATATTCCTTATTTTTATATACTCATTTATCTTATTGCAACATTTCTAGAGCACAACCATAACCTCTATGTGAGATTTAAGACAGCCATGAGGTTTCTTGCTTATGTCTTGATCCATTTTCAGAAACGAAAAAGCAAAGAACACGCCAAAAAATTAGGGATACACATAAATTTACAGCTAGACTTTCACTTCTCTATGGCACTTTCACACTCAAACACGCACACACACGTGGCACTCACTTACCGAACCAGTTCGCCAGCTCTATTTGAGATTGAAGAGGCCTTGAAAGTCCAAACAAATAGCATGGGTTAGGTCCTGGACGAATTGTATGGCCTCGACGAGACAAACGTTCATAACAAAATTACGAATTTGTACGAATCTTTCGACGAAAGGCATTTATACTGGTTTGGATTTTTTGTCGTGTCTATATCAGTATATAGAGTATTGAGTCTTTAATGATTATTATAAATTTATTTATTTTATACATATATATAAATATATATATTACAATTATGAAATAATAGGATATTTCGCTTTTTGTGTTCTTTATTATTTTTTATTTTTTTTAAATTGCAAGCAATTTATTTTAAATCTTTTTTTTCCAACTAGGAACTTTTTGCTGCTACCGCTTGAACGACTCAAAGCCAATTGAACGTACTGTTGTCGCCTTTGGGAGCATTCACAGGGATCGAGCTGAACGACAAAAAGTTGCTGCAGAACGGTAAACAGCGTTTAGCCAATCGGAAAAATGTGGCTCGCGGCGCCTGGAGAAATGCATTTAAGAGGACCAGCTGGGTCAACGAACCGCTCACAGAGAGTGTAGGAGAAAACGAATTTAGATTCTAGCAAGCAAAACAAACGCACAGAGAGCTGAATTTGTGGACAGATTGCGTGAGCGCACGGTCGCAGCTCTCTCTCGCTCTTTAGGGACATTTCGAGAAGAGAAATTTCCTTTTTTGCTTAAGACGAACAAAGCATAAAATCTTGAAGGCTTTAAGGCTTGAGCTGAGGAATCATATGATTTATAAGCACCTATAATTATTTCATATTATATAAGAATTTTGAATTTTAAATTATAATTTAACGTAAATTTGGTTTTATTCCATAAATCTTTTCCAATTTAAGTATAGTGCAGCATGCAATTTTCATTGGAAAATGTTGCTAAGCTTTAACAGACTACTGCTGTTAGCGCTGCTAACAGTCTGTTAACATATTACAAGAATATCATGTAAAAGCAAATTTTGAAAGAAAAAAAAAAATGATCTACAGTTTTACGCACACATTTTTTCCCGCCAAAACAAAAAGTACGAAAAAAACTTACCGTAAATCCAAAGAGTTTTTTAATGGAACAATTTACACAGATGAATTGAATAATTTAGTTAACAAAATAAATATTTATAAAATCATAAATAGGCACAAAATTCGAATTTAGCCAAAGAAAAGACGCTTTATTTATTAAAAAAGTGAAATTTTTAGGCGTAATTACGTCAATTGGTTAAATTTGCAGTTAATTAAATTGTTGGCAGTCGTTTTATTTTTTATAATGAGAAAAAAAATAATCACTACCGAAGACAGGGGTACAAAAAAAAAAAAAAAAGAATGATAGACACGTGCGTGAAAAAATACAAAAATTTGGGAAATTATTGCGAAGCAAAGAGAATAATTAAAGTCAGGGTCAAGTAGAGTAAAGCGCAGAATTTTTTTCAAATTTCGTTTCTTTTTAAACACTTAAATTAAATGATTTTTTTTATTAATTCGAAACACAACGCGTCGTAGTAAATGGAAAGGGACTTGGACGGTGCTTTCGTCGTCATTGAAGCGCGTTGACTGCAGAGCGCGAGGCGGAGTTCTTGTCCCGTCTGACCTTCAGGCGGAGCTTTGGCCAACTGAGGCAGGGCTTGCAGTGTTAATAGAAAAAGCTCGCAGATCACAACACGTGCATGGGCAACGCGAGTGCAGCTGCAGCAACGGCACTTGACTAAAAGCTTTTCTTAAAAGCATTTTTCGCAGATTAGACAGCTGCCAGTAAGCGGCGTAAGCTTAAAAGCTCTCAGCCAACCCGATAGATGGCGTTAACCAAATCTAGCATCGCCTTTACAGTGCTTTACATAAACATATTCCTGCTGTAGTAAGAAAAGTTTGAGTTACTTCATTATTTATAATTTATTATTGTTTATTTATGTTCATATATATTTATATATATATTTAATGTATAGCCATTTATACTAATGCTTGCCAGTTGTTTAATTTACTTTTTACATGTATGCTTATTTATTAAATATATACTTTATATACGTTTACTTTTTACAATATTGTATTGTTTCTATTTTGTATTATTATTATTACTATTATTATTATCATTATTTTTTTTTTTTTTTTTTTTTTTTTGACATTTTGGTTTTTGTTTTTAGGGATATGAATATGTTTTGTTATATTCAATGTAAGCTTTTGCATTTAATTATTTTTTAATATTCATAATATATATGTATATAATTCTAAATCTATTTAATCAACATTTATGTTTCAATTTCATTTTAATTTTTTTAGTGTTTTCAATTTTTTGAATAATTAAGAATAATTAAAACAACAAAAATTTGTTATCTTTCTCTCTACGCTTTTCTATATACACTAACGGTTTATAAATAACTTTTACATATTAATGTTTGTTTTTCTTCTTATATGTTTATAAAGCTTAGCAGAGAACTGAAAATATATGAAATTATAAAACAATTTTTGCAGAAATATTGAGTAAAAAACAAACAAAAAATCAGGGAAGACAACTTTCACAACACTTTTTTTGATTAGCATGCATTTATAGCTGTTATATATATATTATACTATATATATTATTTAACATTTACGCATAAAAACTTACTAACCATAAATTCACGATTGATTTTTTTTTCTTTTTGACAACTTCTTAGTATATTTAGCTATATACAATTATTTAAATTTTAGATTATAATATTATTTATTAATTAAATTTCATGTTTATTTATCTTCCTAGAAAATTCCAAAACTTTCTGTTTTCAACCTATTCTGTGTTCAATCAAAATTTTTAAATAATTTTTCTTTCATTTACATATTGCGTTTTCCATCCACTTCCGTTGTTATTTATAAGGCAAAGGAACTATTTACCGTTGGATTTTTGTTTGCCAAAAATTTTCAAATAATTGTAATGTTTAGTTTGCTGAAAACAGAATTTTGATTTTTATTACTTAACAAATGTTTTTTTTTTTTTTTTTGTCGATTTAGCTGTTATTTAATTTTAATTTTTGCGTCTACAAATGAAAAAGTTTTTTGTAATTAATTTTGCATACTTCCAAAACCGTAAAAAGTTCCTTTCTATATATTACGCTGTTATTATGCTCTTTCTTATATATATCGATTCCTTATCTTATTCTACTGATAAGCAGAACTTTATTTACAAAATCCATGGTGAGCGGGTGAGTGAGCGAGAGAGCTGCTTCTGTTGTGGTTTACGCTTCTTACTGTACTTTAAATTGCACTACGATATACATATAAAAGCTAAGCTCAAGTGCAAATTCAAAGCGCAGTCAAAGCTTTTCGCTGTTCTTTATAGCATACATACATATGTATGTATGGGATGTAAACAACGAGAGATCAGAATTTCTGATTGAATATGTTTTTGTAACTTAAAATATGAGTGTAGCTGTTGCTGTCTTAACGAATATCTGCAATTAAATGAAACAAAAAAAAAGGGATTTTATCTTCATTTGCATTCATGCAGCTGTGTGTCGGCATCGACTTTCTGTGAAATTAGGGAAATTAGAACAGAAATTAAAATAGGGCTAGTGCTTATACTAGTTCGTACAAATGTTTGTTTTGTTTTATGCTTTTTTATTTGCTTTTGCTTTGTGTTGTGATCTAAAGAGTAGTGAATATCTCTCTTAATTCGGCATGAGTAATGGGAAATTAAAATTCACATTCGGACATTTCAAGGGAATTTAACTGAAGAGAACACACAATAACTCACAAACTGCTATCAAAACTAAAAATGGAATAAAATAATGTAGAGATAATCTTAACTAATTTCTAATGCATTTTAATTATGCATTGAAATATATTTTGTGTAATACTTATAATAATTAACTCTATTTCTATGAGCTTCACCTGTTAATTGTTTGCGTACATATGTTGTATATATTTATATAATTAGATTATTTATTTATTTAGTTATATACTTTTATTGTAAAGTTTTTACATTTACTCTCATTACATTTATGTATACCATATATTAACATATTACCAGTTACACTCTCTTAATATACTATAATATACTTAAGCTTCTCTTTGCTTTTCTTTGTTTTGCTTCTCCCAAAATTGGCTTCACAACGTCTTAGGTGCGTTTTAGCCAGGGCGAACTGTAAATTTCCTTTTTTATTTTTGTTTTGTTTTGCTGTTTGCCGCTTGTGACATTAATTATTGCGCGTGTAAAAACAAATAAGAGAAAGAAACAAATATGGTTAAGAGAAATGTGCCCATTCGTTCGCATGGCAGCACCTTAAGCTACTTTTCGAAATGCATTTCATCATCAATTTAGCATCAGCATGGCGCTGCCGCTGCTAGCTTTGGGCATGTCATCAATAATCGTTGATCCGGCTGCGAGGCCGCGCCCACTTTAGCAAGTGTCGCTGACAGCTGTTGATGTTGGCGCTTTAGTGTTGCTCGGTCTGCAGCTGCAGTTAAATCAACGCCAGAATTGCCCTCATCATCATCATCATCAACATCATCAGTATCAGCAACATCAGCGATAGCACTATCGTCAACATCATCATCATCATCAACGTCGTAATCATCATTATTACGTTGCAAAAGTGTTGCCAATGCCATTTGACAATTATAAAAGCATTTGTCGCTCTCACTTGGCGCTGTCTTTGACATTGTCACATTGGCAACGTCGCCGTCGCCGTCGCCATCGTTGCTGCCATCTCTGCCACCGTCGCCGTCGCTAGCCGTCTGTTGCGTCGCTGCACTGTCGCTGGCATATTGACAGTTGTTAATTTGATGGCCCATCCACAGCCGGCAGAGGGGCGGCAGTGCGAGTGCAACGCTTAGCCATGTGGTGTACGCATCAAAGTGACACGCCCACTTTGCCAGATGCCTGTTGATGTGTCGGTGCAGCTTTGCCATGTGCTGCAATGGCAACGCCTCCATAAGCTTCAATAACCAAACGTGCCAAAAGAATGCCTGAGCAGCGCTCGAAGCGCCCGACGCACCGTTATCCGCTGTAAAATAGACACAAAGCAAAAGAGAGAGTGAATATAAAGTGCGCATTTGACCATATCTGGTGGGAGGCGTGTGCATTAGCAAAGAGATTTCATAGGCACACACTAAAAGAGAGTTTGTAGCTTAAGTTTACACTGAGCAAAGACTGAGATGACTTTAAGTTGATTTTCAGTGAGCTTATTTTTCGGACACAAATTTATTATACAAAAGAGCGAAAATTCCTTTATTTACTAAAACTAAATTCGTATATTAATCTTAATGGCAATGAAATACTTCTTCGCTATGGGATATTTACTCTTTTATGTTTTACAAAAGCTACGTTCAAGCAGCTTTATGAAAGAGCAAAGCATCGTCTAGATAAAAGTTCTTACTCCTTTCATAAAACCAACGTTACTAAGGGTCATATTTATATGAACGACGCTACTTAGATGATCTCCTCATACAAAACATTTACACTTTGATGTTTTGCATAAGCAGAGCTTAAGTTAAATTCCTCTGATCTTTTGCATCGATTCAGATATGGTGCAGCTTTATATTTTATTTGCAACTCGCTTGCACTCCATTGAGCTGCTGCCTGCTGAAAAATATCCGATAAATCTTCCAAAAAAAAGAAAAAAGAATACACTTCTTAGTGTGGTTGTGTGTGTGAGAGGGTTGCATGTCAACATTGCATTTGCATAAAGTTCACAAAAATCGAATTCGTTTGAATCGAAACTGTGAGCACACAGTAAACTGCAAAACCCCACTGAAAATCGAGTTCATTTCGCATGGGTAACGCGCTCCAGCTAAGAATGTTGCATACTTTTATGCGCCCGTTGAATATACAGTCTCCACTCAATATACACACATATTTTCCGTACTTCTTTTTGAAGTCGATGCAATTTTAAATACAATTTGCAGCTCAATGCGTTTACAATGTTGTTGTTGTTGTTGTTGCTGACGCTGCTGCTGCTGCTGTTGCATTTTGGTGTTAAGTAAATGTTGCCGCAAGTAAGTGGCAACTCTAGCAAATAGTAGAAGAGAGAGAGAGAGTGAGTGAAAGAGCGTGGAAGGGGCTTTATAAGCATAAGCTACAGAGCAATCAAGTTGCTTTTCCACAGCGTAAATTAGAGAAACAAGTATGCATAGTAGAGTGTAGTTTAGTAGAATGATCGACTAGCAGATACCTCGCAAGTATGCAGATGACTAACGTGTATTTGAATTATAATCATTTAAGTATACATATATTATTGTTTTAAGTACACTATAAAATATATTATTATAAAATATAAACTATACTATATATAAAATATAAATTCCGAAACGAAATAATCATAAAGTTTTTACCATCTTTTCTTATCTTATCTATACGGTGTGACTCCGTCTATTCAGAAAATTCATCCTATATGGCGTTACATTCATCAACAACGTAAGCTTCCCTTTTACTTCAAATAAGTACAGGGTATGCAAATAACATTCCCAATGGCAAGGACATGTAATATTGCCTCTGGGCCGCAACATAAACAGAAACTAGAGAAAATCAGCTGGCAGTCGGCAAAGGATGTGCCGCGACAATCTTTCACTGTCTGAAACGAAGTTTATACCAATTTGATTTGACCCGGCATTTGATTCGATAAGCGAGTCGGTTATCCTGCTGCCACTTGCCAGGAGCAGCACCACCACCAACAGCTGCTCCTGCTGCTGCTTTTGCCTGAATGTTTATGCTGGCAAATGTTATTTGCATAATTTACGTTGTATGTTCGAGCAGGAAAGCGAGGAGAACACCGAGTGCCTTGATGGGCAACTATTGAAAGTTGACATTGCAGATGCTCAAAAATTTAGCCACTCCCACTCTCCCCCTCTCCCCTAGCCAGTTCTCAGCTGCAGTTTGTGTGCAGCTTGGATCAGGCTGGCAAACACTTGTTAAAAGGTTTTGCAGTTCAGTTTTAAAATGTACTTGAGGCGGCATTAGAGCTCGATGCGCTGCTAAGCAAATTCCATCGAAAAACCTATTCAATTTTTTTTTTATTGTTTGCGAGTTTCAACTGCATTTCACTTAAGTTACAAAACTTAAATAATTCACAAATTGTAAATAAAAGAAAGTTGTTGATAGATGGGAACTTGATACATAGAAATTTTAAGATAATAATATAAATAGTAAATATGAATAATATTATAATAATATGTATATATAATTATATATAAATAAATGAATGATTTCGGATCTAAGGGATTTATAAGGTGTTTTTTATGAGATGATAAAAACCATTAATAATAAAATAAATGAAAATTTGTTATAAATAAAATTCAAATGAATATAAAATATATATTAAAAAAAAAAAATATTGGTGATTAAAATTCAAACTGAACTAAATATTATACTTAACAAAAATATCAATAAAAAGTAAAAATATAATAAAAATGGAAAATAATTTATTTATTAAAATAAAAAAAAAAAAAATTAAAAGTATTAATAGAAAACTCTGATCTTTAAATGATGATATGATTATAGCTAAAACATGTATTTAAAATTATAAAAAAAAACAGTGATTCTCTGCCTTTCAGTTTTGTAAACTTTTAATACTACATATGTACATATATACATATTATAAATATATTTAATTAATTTTAAATTTATACTTACTCGATGAGTAGGTCAGATATGACTCATTATGCTCCTCATAGCCGCCCCGCTCCCGATCGCCATGCCTGTTGCCATGATCTTCCATTGGGTAATTGTTGATATCATATGATCGGCCCGAGGCCATAATTCTGGGTCGATCCTCTTCGATAATGCTCTCGATTTCCTCTTTAAATATGTCAAATATGTTGGCCGTGCATTTCAGCTGTGGAATTTGATATGTGATTAATTAATTCTTGAAACTATATAGCTAGAAACTCTAATAAATATTGATTCCAAGCAAGGCTTCAAACCTATTTGCACTTTCAGCGGGACCCTTGACACGTGGAACCACTCGATTTATATAGATTTAGTATATCCGTTTGGCTTACCCTCATTTGACCCTTGAGAAAATGCTGTGTGGTTACCATAAAGTGTATGGCACTTGTCACCGATTCCAGTGTGCTATTCTCTTGTTTCTCAATCTGATAAGTCTTGATGTGATGCGGCGGCACCTGCGAATGGAAGCAAACGTGAATTGGGATGTGTGTCAAGTGGATGAAGGATGAATGAAAGGAATGCGCGCTTCAATACATCAGTTCAAAGGGCTGGCAACGCTTGCAAATCAATTTATAAATATTTATCAAAAGCAGATAGAGCGAGCCAGAGAGTTCAAGAGCGGACCAGAGCGGAACAGAGACGAGGGGGCTGCATCTTACAGATATGCGACATGAAGCACTCAACCACTATGTTGTAGCACCACCATACAATGCACAATGCACAAGTGGAAACTGTGCCGTGTCCTGTTCTCTCATCTGTGTGGTGGTCCTCGGCGGAGGCCTCTGCCACTTCTTACGGCCAAAAAACATGCCACAGCAGGCAAATTTATAACTTATGAATGATGAATAGATTCACGCTTGAGTGATTAAGTGGAGCAAAGCGATGGAGTGGGCCACGATGGCCGGGCGGAGGGTGGCTCAGGCACGAAGGCAGTCGAGCCAGGACGAGGCCACTTTGTTTGCGGTGAGTTTAGTTTGAAGTGCCTGCAGATAACGTTGCCAGCCTGACAGGCGGACCCAAGCCCCCAAGACCCCCAGACCCTCGCACCCCTCACACATGTGCTGGGTGTAGTTGCAGCAGCAGCAGCAGCAGCAGCAGCAGCAGCAGGAGCAGCAGCAGCAGCCGGTCCTGTTGAAAAGCGCTCGTTAGCTAAAAGATCAAGTGGCGGACCAGCGCACACACCAACACACACACACACACACGCACCAGACCACACTTGAGAGTTGTTTGTGTTAGTTTTTGCTGAATTGCTTGTTTGATAATGATATAAAAATATTATATATATATATTCTCAGATATATATGTATAAAACGTTCTCTAACTGCAACTTTCTCAGTTGTTCTCTTGGTCCTTTCACTTAATGCCAGCAGGGCCCGCCCATTTTTTTTAAGTTTCCAAGTACCTACCTACCAACAAATACAAATATAACAGAAAACTTTTATTCCAGTTCGCATTTATATATATATATCAAAATATTTTTTTTTTTTTTGCTATTTCCATTTAATTTTTATTTCATATATTTTTAACTTTATTAATTAGTTGAAAGGCAGCGCGATTAGCTAGTAAATGTTAGCATTACATTTTTAATTTGAACCAAATAATAGAAATAATAACAGAATAAAAAAAAATGTTTAAACGTTTTAGTAAAGTATAAGAAACGCGGACAATTTTTAAATTAAAAAATTGTTTTATTATTATTTTTTATTTATTTATTTATTTTTTTATCATCACTGTAAATTATTTAATTGAAATAAAAAGCTACATTTCGTTGGGTGAAGATAGAAATAATGTAAAAACAGAAAAGCAATACGATATTTTGATCATTATTATAATTTTTATTGAAAAAATATTTTCTTTCAAGTTTAGTTTTAGCAGAGTAATATAAAAATAATTGAAAATTTTATTTGTTTTACAATCTTCTTCGATAGACATTCATTATATTTACTCATACTATTTGCGTCAACAATTCACAGTGGAACTCACCTATTTCGCTTCCAGAGTACAACACAATCCAAGTTCCCTTGCCAAACCTAACAACTTGTAGAAGCATAAAAAGCTCAAACTAAGTGAAATATGACTCACATCGAACTCAAACGAACGGTCACTCACTATTCTCATTTTTCATTGCAAAACTTTTATAGGGGATACTTTTAGGTAGTAAAGGGAACTGAACACTTGGCAGAAATCCAGAAGCTTTAAAAGAGATAACACCTAGATAGGTAATCAAATTACACGAATAGAATTATAATAAACAAGCATACAAATATATTTTATCTTCAGCGATGGTCTGTAATAGTCAGACTGTCTATTAAAAAAAAAAAAAAAAAAATTAATATATATATATATATATATATATAATATGCTTGCTTTATTGACAAAATATTATTTATTTGTTGTCGATTGCATTTACTTGCAATCTATTCTATATCTGAAAAATTGGTTAGCTTTATATTAATATTTCAATAGAAATATATAAATGATTAAAAATATTGTAAACCCATTTAATTACTTTCCTAGAGTATCTAGGTCTCGGCCCAGTTTAATGCGCGCATGCACACACAAATAATTTATTGCAACAATAGCATAGAACGTAGACGTAATGCCGTCCTACGTCGAATGTCTTAGCGGGCAGTGGGCGCAACGGACAAAAATACAACAAAAAGTTTGCTGACAACCGAAACGTTTCTTAAAACAAACGCAGCAAAAAAGCAAAGCAGTGAAAAAAATGTCGGTCCATGTCACATGCCTCGGCCGTGTAAGCCCCAAAACTCCAAAACTCTGTGAAATCATGCGGAACTATGACAGCAGCCAGGTGAAGCACCCCTGAGCACCTTTGCCCACATCAGGCAGTTCAGCTGCCGGAATATGTGGAAACTACCTGCTGTGGTTGCGGCCATAAAACAGCCAGCCAAAGTAAAAGGCATAAAAAGTGACTGCCTATCAAAAATGATATGGTATATATGTAGGGGAAGTCTAGGCGGAAAACCAAAGCGAAAAAAGAGAGAGGCCAGCAGCACGCAGGTGCCAAAAAGTGTGTATACGTGTGTGTGAAATGAAAAATCACACACTAAACGCCAAAAGATTGCCAAGCGATGCAACTGAACAATGTGGAGGGAAACGATGGGGGCTTCTAGAAAGTTAAGCGCTTGGGAATGATTGCAGCAGATCTAGAGATGAGCAAGGAATTAAGCGAGATCAGAGGCGCAGAAGATACAAAGTTAAAGTATATTAAATATAAAATATAAAAAATGAAATATAAAATATAAAACATAAAATATAAAAAATTAAATATAAAATATAAAATATAAAATAAAAAATAAATAATATAAATTATAAAATAAAAGCAAAGTAAACAAAAAAAAAATAAAGAAAACAAAAATTAGAAAAAATTGTTAATATGCAAAATATTACAATAATAATTCAGCTAATCTTAAATTTGTTGCAGAGTTTATTTAAATGCCATTTGACACGGTTGTTAAAGCGATATATTTTGGTGAGACTTTTTTGTTAAGAGAGGAAAAAAAGTCTCAGTTGTATTTGAAATGTCGAACAACAGCATCTACGAAGCTCGTCTGCTTTGGGCACTCATTGTGGGCACAATCGCGGGATATATTTTGACAGAGATCCTCTCCTATAGGGCGGCAAGGCCAATGGAGCAACCGTCGCTAGCGGAACAGCTGAAGAAAGAGGTGCGCGTGCTGTGCTGGGTAATGACCCATCCAGGTAATCACAAGCTGAGGGCACTGCACGTCAAGCGCACCTGGGGCAAGCGGTGTAATATTCTGCTGTTCATGAGCTCTCAATTGGATGATGAGCTGCCGACAGTAAAATTGAATTTGACTGAGGGGCGAAACTATCTCTGGATGAAGACAAAGAGCGCCTTCAAGTATGTCTACAATAATTACTATAACGATTCCGATTGGTTCTTCAAGGCGGACGATGACACGTTTGCGGTGATCGAAAACATGCGATATATGCTATATCGATATAATTCCGAGACGCCCGTCTACTTTGGCTGCAAGTTCAAAAAGTACTTCAAGCAGGGCTTCATGTCGGGCGGTGCTGGGTACATCCTGAGCCGCGAGGCCTTGCGTCGATTTGTGGTCGAGGGCCTGTCCAATCCTAAGATTTGCAAGTCTGGCCCTGACGGGGCTGAGGACCTCATGATTGGACTATGCATGCAGAATCTGAATGTAACAGCTGGCGATTCACGCGATGCCAATGGACACGGTCGCATGTATCCACTGTATCCCGCATTTCATTTACATCCACCAGACAATAAAACGTTTTGGTACTGGAATTATGCATTCTATAATACGACAGACGTAAGTGTGTGACATTCTGTCCAAAACAACTAATCGGAGTATTATTTAGTGTTTCAGCTGTGTCGCAAATACGGCAATATCCTTTCACTACGTCAAGCCCAATGAAATGTACCAATATGACTATTTCATTTATACTCTAAAAGCCTATGGGCTCATACACAATCAAGAGTTGAAGCTGCCAACTAAATTGGCTGCAGGGGAATATAACCCAGAGGGAATATAACCCATATATAAAAATAAATAAATAAATAGAAAATAGCTAGAAGAATTAATACAGAAGAAAAAGAAAAAATATTGAATAATTTATAGTAAATCTACATACAGATGAATGGACATTAAAAAACTAATATGCTCTACTATATAATTTGCTACTAATATACTTTTTTAGTGAGTATTAAGAACAATTAAAGTAATCCCACAGCAGTTTTTTTTTTTAGTTTTATGCAGACCAAAAATTTTTTTTTAGGTTTATTTATTTCTTTTTTTTGTTTTTTTGTTTATTAAAAAAGTTATGTATTTTGCCAAGAATTCATAAAATATAATCAAATAAATTTTTTTAAATTGTTACTCTAACATCATCTTTCAATTACTTCATAAATCATTTTCAAAATCACTTCTCTTGCCAAAGTGCCTTCAATCCGAAATGCCCGACAAAGATCTCTTAAATTTGCCACTTTTCCGGCCAACAATTGGGCAATTGAAGTGTAAACTAAGTGCTGAAAAGGAAACTTTTAGCCGAATTGGCTGCACTGGCGACTAATTGAAAAATTGCGGGGCTATCAATTGGAAATTGCCTCGAAGCGCACACGCACACACACACACACACGCAGACAGTTGACTCCACTCCGTTCACTAATTGAATGGCGGATCGCAATGGCAATGGCAATGGCAATGGGAATGGGTATGGAAATGGAAACCGAAACCAAAACTTACCACAATACCATTAATAGTCCATGTCAAATTAGCAGCCGGTTTCGAGTATTTAATTGAGCAATTGCCGTCGACCAAATCGCCAATGCGATAACGTGCCTGTATGCCGGTAACCACTGTATGCTCTTCCGGTAACTCTGCCGTACAGACAGAGTGCGAGAGTGAGAGAGTGAGTGAGAGAGGGAGAGTAAAAGAGATGGAATTACCTTTAGGCTGCATAATGGAAATGTAAAATTAGCTGACCAGCACTCGCAAAAGCAAAAAAAAAAAGAAATGGCAAAGGCTGGCGCCCATTTGTCTAATTAATTTGCTTTCGGTATCGCAGTAAGGCAAGACCGGGGCAAGGCAGGGCTGCCTTTGCCATTTGCGCTAGGTGCTGATAGTATTTTTATTGGAGTTTTTTTTACTACTTTCTCTACTATTTCTTTTTTTTTTTTTTTTTTTTTGGTATTTTTTCATTTTACTTACCCACCACCTCCATTTCGCCGGAGACCATAGCTGTTTGAAATGTGGGCGCCTCCACAGATATTTCGCATGTAAATTTGCCCGAAATATTCAGCGGCACCGACTGCAGCACGACATGACTTTGATTCGAGAGGTTGCGCTACAGAAAGAGAAGGAGAGAGAAAGAGATAGTAAGAGTGGGTACAAATGTGCGAGTGAGTGAGAGAGAGTGAGAGCAATAAAAATTAGTTGAAAAATTGACAGAATGCGCTGCATAGAAATTGAATATAACGCAATGCCAAAGTGAACCAAATATAAAGCAAGGGAACAAATAATGTCGAGTCCACACAGCGAAGCATCGCACCAGATGTTGTTGATGAAAGATACTCGGGCGAAAATTGACCCAGGCAGCCAAAGAGTCATGGAGCCATATACAGTTATGGATGGAGCTTGCATTTTAAGTCGACCTGCCCCCCATTTTGATTGCTTTGAGTCAAAGCAATTTCGCCTTTTGGCTCTGCTGTTGATTTGTGATATTAAAAAAAAAAAGAGGAAGAAAAGACTGAGTCCGTTATGAGCCGAATGAAATGATGTGGCTGGCAGATCTTTTATTTATGAGTAACCATCTCAAACAATAACTGCGCAATGCCATATTCTAGGAATATATATTGTAGCTAATAAAACCATATTTAAGGCAGCTCAAATATATTTATGCACAAAAGCAACTAAAATGCTATCGAAAATATTGAAATCTCTTTTTTATTTAAAGTTGAATGGGTTTGTTTAAATGTTTGTAACAGCCAGAAGAAGGCATGGCAGAGGGTATAATTTATATATATTCTAGATCAGAGCGATGAGTTGAGTCGATTAAGCGAAATTTGACTATCTGTTCATATGGGTGAGCGCGAGGATCTCAGAGCCTATAAAAGCTAGAGACTAGAAATCTTTTTGGCAAGTCCCTATATAGCACGCAAAGATCGAGTCTGTTTCAGAAAATCGATAACTGTTCTCATTTTAGCTTTATCAGTTCAGGTAGCTTACAGTGGAGCTATGATAATAGCTGTCTGTCTGTTTGTCATATGTATAAAAAAATAGTTGAAATAAATAATGGTGTTTTCTCTCGTTTAAATCGACTTCGATGAAAACAAATTATTAGCTGCTCATTTAATTGGGAGTGTTTTTTTTTCTTTTTAATTTATTTTTTTTTTTAATATTTTTTTATTGCTATTACAGTTGCTGTTTGTCGAGTGCATCCACTCATGACGGCCTCTCGTCAGCCACTCGAGCTGTATGCAATTGTTTACGCGAAATTTAATCTTTGACACGACGAGCTGTAACCCCATTGCAGCAATCCACTTAATACAAAATTAAATTTTAATAAATTGCATTTAAAGACCGACTTTAATATGCAAAAATATGACACTTCGCTCCGGGAGTCGATGGGATTGAAGTGAACTGGATTGGTTTACATTCGATATTTAACCCAATTTGTGTCCGGTCGCCAAACTAATTGGCCCTCCTACATTTCAACGTAATAATAAAGCTGAAAACTTCTCTCGAGCGTTCGACTTTCATGGAGTACTTATATATATATTTATATATAATTTTTTTTTTTTTTTTTTTTTTTGCAATTTACATATATTGTTTTTTAATGAGCCGCAAGTCAATCGCGTTGCCAACTAATTGGGCGATGGAACTCACTGGCTGTGCAGTCAGCTCTTATTATTGTTGTTGTTGTTGTGTATAATTACGACATTCTGAATTTCAGAGACTGTTGTGCAAATGCTTAAGAGTGGCTATAGGGGAGAGCGAGCGGGGCAGGTGGTGGAGATTGGAACACGTTGGATACGAATGAGATTTTTCCTGGCTTAATGCAATCAGCCATTATGGGCATAATTTACAGTGCGTTTGTTATTTTATGACACGCAGCTGCAGCAGCTGTGAGCCAAACGCTCTGGCAAGCTACATATATATACTTTACTATATATGTATATATATATATAATATCCATATACATAGTCTTTAGTCTTTATACTCACCTCAACATTGAGGCCACTTGTCATGGCAAACACTTTCATTGCCGGATTCTCTTTGGGTGTGTAGCGATAAAACTCACGCTTGCCTTTATACCATTTAACCGAATAAAGCGTATCGTTTTCCATATCATAATTACAGGTGAACAAGGCGTTGCTGCCACGTTTAACCGCCTGCGGTATCCTAACCGAAACATCCTTGAGCGCCACAATAAAATCTGCAAAGAATAACAAACACAAAACACCATGATAGAGTTGGGGCGTTAACTGAGACTATATAAGAATATAATTTTATGCGTTTCGCTAAATGAAATTAAGCACAGTCGACGAGCTGTGATGAGTCTTATGTTACAGATTTCGTCTGGTGGCTGGGCTGGCTCGGGTGGGTGGTTAGAGAGTGTTGCGCATTTAGTATAATTTGTTAATACCCTATCAAGAATTTAAGGGCAGACGAATTGAGCTGTGGGCTTGTTTATATTATCATTACAATGGCTTAACGTGACTTTGTAAGCCAGACAGAGTTTAAGTGTGGTTTCTTTTACAAATATTTATATACCTGAGCCTTTGTGTAATCTTCAAATTATCGTGTATACATATATTAATTATTAAATTCTTAAATATTACAAAGAAAATTAATTATTATTAGTAAAGGCGAAATAAAGAGATGGAGAAATAAAAAATGTTTGATTTTGAGACAGATTGAGAAAGACAGATGATAGAAGAAAGACAAGGGAGAAAGGGAATTAAATTTAAAATAATGATTATATATTCATTAAATATTTATTATTATTATTATTATAAGAATTGCATAGAAGAGCTGCCGCATAAATAAGGCAAAAACACCACGAGATAATCTAAAGTTAATCTGTCTAATTTTAAGCACACCTTCATAATTCCAAGTGTAAATGACTTTGAAAGGAATCACATAAAAATGCGATATACCTGTTAATGTATCTTATGAGATCGCCGTGCCATTTTATTTATTTATTTATTTTTATTTTTTTATGAGCACACATTACGAGAAGACAGTGCAGATGGCATAGAAAAGTCAAAGCTTAACATGTTTGCTATCTGGCTTAAAAAATAAACTGAAAACTGCAAAATGACCAGCAGCAGGACGGCAGAGTGGAGGGTGGGTGGAGTGGTAGAATAAACAGGGAAACGGACAAACGAGAGACAGACGGACATACAAAAATGCAGACAGATAGATAGATAGAAGCGCCGTATGAAAAACGGAAAACCAAACTTACAATAGAATTTTACAAGCAGCATTCGAGTATGATAAAGCTGGGGTCCAGCTCCCACTCACGTTGCTGCCGTTGCCGTTGCCATTGCTGTTGTTGTTGTTGTTGTTGCTGTTGCTGTTGGCAACCAGCTAAATGGAGAACCATTAAAAGTGGACATTTGTAAACATAAACTGACAGATAAACACCCAACGAAACTTTAAATGCAATCCCACATGCTGGATGGGGGATGTGAAGGGGGCACGGTTGGACAATAAGTTGCCCTTGCAATTTTCATTGGTTTATATTACCTGTGAGTGCCGCATGCCCAGCTAGAGAAAGCCGTTAAAATACTTAACAAACGTAGATTGTAAAAGTTTTTTACAACAATATAAAATGCCAGGCAAAAAGTTGTTGTTGTTATACGTTCCGCAACCACAGCAATCGGAACAGAAACAATAACAACAACAAGAACAGCAGCAGTAGCAGTAGCAACAGCAACAAATGCAACCTCTGCTGAAGGACAATTTAACTCGCCAACAACTGCAATGAGAAACGTTGGGGATGAGCGAGGACCGAGAGGATACAATTGTGGAATATGGCGATACGATATGTGCAGCTAGAGCAAAAACAAAACACACGCTCCCTATATATGGGTCAATATGAAACAAAAAGTATTGTGAGCATCCATGAGAGTAAAAAATAAAACAAGCAAGAGACAATAAAAACCCAGCCTGACTAGCAAATGTATCCTGTAAGCCAATATGATAACAAGGAAAGAAGATATTAGCTTTAAAAATAAAACAGGACATATATGGAATACATGAAATAGTAGGTATGTTATCTAGATTTTATGTTCAGAAATTATATGGAGTAAGCTTCTATTATTAAGGATCTTGAAGTTTCCAAGATGAGTTCGTTCAGACTTCTTTAGTTCCATTAGAACTTGCTAGATGAGCTCAGGCTGTCTATATTAGCTTAAGTATCAATAAAGCTATATACTCAGATAAACCCTTCACTCGTGCAAGTTACAGGGTATTACAGTTAAGAAAAAAAGAATAACATCGAACTTTAATGATAGCTTGCAATTGAAGCTGTGCGTGCGAGTGAGAGCGCATGAAGCGGAAGAGGGCACACCTATTGGTCGTATATGGCGCTATTTAGTGCTGCATTTGTTGTCACATGAAACGCACTGCGGAAAACTGAACAAAATGAAAGGGGGCACGTACTAACAGTGTGTGAGTGTGTGTGTGCTCGGGTTAGAAACTTGCAACTTGCTTATCAAAGCTGCAGCAACGTGGACAGTGGGTGTTGAATGCGTTCAGTTAAGCGAACTCCGAGCTTTGACTTCTATTTCCATTTCTACAACTCGTGTGTTCAGACTTGTAATTTGCGCATATGCTGTGCCCACTATAGAGGCTGAGCTGAGAACTGAGAGAAATCGTACAATAAAATAAATACATTTATAAATTGAGTTCGGATTTTCTTCATTTGAGTTTGTTGAACTAAACTCATATCTGAAAACTTGTTATAGTCAAAGTTTTCAAAATGCTTGGTACTAATCAGCTATATTTTCCAACTTAACCTCATCGACTTATGATTTTTCTTATGTGACTCTATTCTACTATCGTTAACAGCATCTTTCTTGCCAAATAGAGAGTAGACTTAGCTGTTAATATGTAAATATGTAAGTATATGGATTGATCTCGTTAGAATGCAAACCATCCGGTAATTGATAGTTATTATTTAAAGATATTATTGTTAAGTTTAAAACAGATGCAAGAAATATATATATATATATATATATATATATATATATATATATATATATAGCTTTCTTTCTTGGTTAACTTTCGCCTTTCTATGTGATTTTCATAAATTTACTTTAAAAATTTTTCCTAAAAATTTTAAGTTTTCTTTTCATTTTTTCCTATATAAGAATTTTAAGATTTTTATAAATATGTATAGTCATGACCTTCCATTTAAGTGCTATTAAAATTAGTAAAATATGTTTGTTATGCTGCTTTTTAAGTTCTGTATCTTAATATTTATTTATTCAATTTTCAAGCTCTGTAATTTATTATTTATTTCATGTATAATTTCTCAGCTCTGTTGATATTTTGCACTCTTTGATTTTGCTATAAGCCAAAAAGTTGGATCAGTATTAATGGTACAAGCGCTCCACAATTTGCAGCAACTAAAACCCCCAAAACTTTTGACATATATTGCAGGGATTTTATTTTGCTATCTTCTTTGTGGCTTCCTTGCACATAAATACGTTGATTAGTTTTTTTGTTTTTTATTTTTAGTTACCGAATAATTTGTAAACAGCTCATCGGTTTAGACCTTTAGAATAATATATATACATAGATATATTCTTTTGTTGAATTTATAGACGCACACAAATTTTGAGTTAAATTTGCTTTCTCGATTTGGTTTCGTTCTCAGTCATTGACTTTGATAAGTTGGCTCATTTTGACAGCAAAACTTTGTAGACGAAATGCATTTGAATGTGACATTAAAAGCTGATCAAAAGTTAAGCAGCCAAATCGAAAACTGCGGGCCAAACACCTCAAAGTATTGTGCAAAACTCTGGCAAAAAAAGAAAAAACAAACAAACAAAACCCGCTGGCTAAACGGAGGGAGGATGCTGAGATGGGTTTGGGGTGGCTCTTGTGTTGGTGTGGCCAAAGTGTTGCCAAATAACGAGGGTGCCACTGAGAGTGTTGCCTTATGAGTGTTGCCACAGAAGTGACAACCAGACACGCATACACAGAGTGAGAGAGAGGGAGAGAGAGAGAGAGTGTGTGTGTGTGTGTGTGTAAGTGGGCGACTGAGCTGGAGTACCACTTCAGACCGAGACACGCGACCGCCGGCAGGACCGCAATGACCTGACCAGAAAAACTGCTCGCCAGCTGATGACTGGAGGACGACTGGCGACTGGTGACTGGCGACTGGCAACTGTCAACACCGCAACCAACACCAACAGGCGATCCGAGTGGACCCTGGACCCACTCTGTTCACTTTTTGACTGGCCATCCTTGTCTTGCAGCCATTTCAACTTTGGAATTTCAATAAGGTTCTGGATGTAGTCGAGCACAAATGCCGCAGGTGCTGGTAGGCATAAAAGGGTCACAGTGGGCAGCGGGGGGCGAGTAGCGGGCAGTGAGCAGCGGGAAATGTAAAAGTAAAGCAAATAAGCCAAAAAGTAAATACATAAATTAAACGTGTTAAGGCGCGTAATGTTCAATGCGTGAATTCAATGGAATTGTTTGCTTAACAACTGAATATTTGAGTTAAATAGCGTCAGGCAGCACAGTTTTCATTCCACAATTGAAAATCCACCGTTCGGCATATTTAATGTTGACAATTTAAATGGCTAAAGTTAAGTTAATAATTTAATTGTTATCAATAGCTGCTAGAAAAGCACTTGAGAAAATGTTACGTTATTAATTATATTACACATTTTTAATTTATCATATATATAGATAATTTATTATTATTTATTTATTGTATGCTTTCTATAATATTTTTATAAATTATTATTTTAAAATATGCTATTATTGGAATTTAAAACATTCGATTTAATTATATAAATTATATTTTAAATTTTTTAATGTTTCATATATATAGCCTACTTATTATTTTTTATTTATTATATTTTCATATATTATTATTTTAAAATATAACAGCCGTATGTCGAGGATTCAAGAAATTGTATATATTTATTGGGGAAAAAATTGTATTTATTACAAAGTGAAATTTAGCCAATTATATATTATCTACAGAATTAACCTAAAAAGATAAATGGCTTACAGACTTGATTTAATTGCATCTCACTAAATTTTCTATTGCTCAACGAGACTCTCTTCGTTTAATAAATGTAACTAAATTTATTGTATTATTGTTCATTTTTTATTTTTGGTAGCCTCTATCATTGAACCCAAAAATTGTTGTCGTCGTCTCTCAATTTTTCTCTATTTTCCAAACAATTT